AAAAGCTATAGTATATTGTCAGACAAAATACGCTGAAGATTAAGACCATGCTTATTTTTAGTTCCATACCATTGATTTCTGAAGAGCTTCACAAGGAATGATTTTTCTTCTTAGAGATAAGATTACAAATGCATTTGTTGTACAGTGATTAACATTTCTTCTCCTTTATGTAGTTTTATGTAAGTAGGATGGAAACAACGACAGTTCTGAAAGATCTGAAACCTGAAACAGAATATGTTGTTAACGTGTTTTCTGTGGTAGAAGATGAAAGCAGTGAACCACTGATCGGCAGGGAAACAACTTGTAAGTTAGAAATGGAACTTGAATAACATTTAAACAGCCCGTTTGGAGTATGGGAAACTGTCCAATAGGCATTTTAGCACCATGGGCTTTCTTCTTAGATGAAACAAAATGTTATTGTGTTGTGTGACACTGGTGGTTCAGATCTTGGCTGAAAAACTTTAGCAAAGTGAAACTGCATTGTGCTAAAAAAATGTTTGTCCCAGCTTCTTTCCAGGCTCATAAAGCATGGCTGTACAAGACTGGATGAACACACATGAATTACAAGACAGTGTTTATAAATGCCTGAAATCTGATCATATACTAGTGTACTCCTTCATTTTTTTGCTAGATAATTACTTCCTGCTACTGGCAGCCAGAATACTATGGAAATTCATTCAGATTTTATAAGATCAACAAAAAGCCAGTTCAACACAATTGCATCACTTCTATGAGACAATGTAGACATGGTGTTTTTACTATTAGCTGTCTGTATGATTGATTTTAGGTATATTTATGCTGAATGCAACATAGGGTGACTTTCTTGCATCTTTAACTATATAGAATGTTAGGTGTTCATTTCACTTTAATTGTCTTGTATTAGACTTGACATAAACCCTTAAAATATGTACATGATTTTTATGAAGGCTGAGATAATTTTTTATGTTTATTTAATAATTTGAGAAATATAGGAAAAAAGAAGAAAGTACAAAAAATCCTTTTAGAAGTCCATATCCCAAAACAGTCATGTTCTCTTTCATATTAGAGCATTCATATGAGTTAATGTGGCTTTTTAGAATATTTAAGTATTCCAGTGCAGACTTGTAAGATAGTTTTAACTGCATGTAGTAAATCTGTAGAACATTGAAAATATGATGACCATTACCTCATTCTTACACTAAGCACTACTTAAAATACCACTACATGAGGTCACCTTTTGACTACCCATAATGTACCCTAATAACCCTGTGCAATATTCTCAGCGGTACTACCTGTGATGTGAAATATGAAAGGTGAAAAAGGTGAAGGAAATACATTAACATATATCTTTTATTTGGAAGTGCCCATCTCTTCAGTTAGAAACCTGAATGTTTATGATATTGGATCAACTTCCATGAGAGTGAGATGGGAACCTCTCAATGGAGCTACTGGTTATTTGTTAACATATGAACCTGTGAATGCCACAGTCCCAACCACAGAGAAAGAGGTAAGAGAATTTGTCTTCACTTCCTATACTCTACCAAAAATAAATTAAGAAAAATGGGTAGATTTTCCTGATATATCATAATAGACAAAAGAAACTGGCATGTACTTCTGGGAAATGCAGTGAGCTTACTGAGATATTGTATACAATGACAGCAGTCAGGAAGCTGTAAATACACTGTGAATCTCACAAACAAATTCCCTTGAATTTGAATCATTGCTTGCTTTTCTGCCATTGCTTTCTTCAGTTTTTAAACATAGTGTGTTGTTTTTCATGTGCAGATGCGTGTTGGACCGTCAGTGAATGAGGTTCAGCTGGTAGATCTCATCCCCAATACTGAGTACACTTTAACAGCTTACGTATTGTTTGGAGATATTACCAGTGACCCACTCACCACCCAGGAAGTGACATGTATGGAAATCCTGATTTTTGCTTTGTTGTTGTTGGTTCAGAAACATTTAACTTGCATTTTGTTTCATGCAACAGCTCTTATATATTTGCTTCTGGTTAGAAGACCACCTTTTCCACCTTTTATGAATTTTCTGACACTCATATATTTCCAAAAGGTCTTACAGGCAATGTAAATGAAAAGGGACCAACCATTAAAAGAGGAACAAAAGGGTTTTTTTCCTTGAATAATGAAAGGAGTTGGCCTGATAATCTCGAGTTTATAGTGGTTTTAAAAGGTCTTAATTTTGCTTGCATTAGCTTAGAAACCTTGTTCCCAAATTCACATATTCTCTTAAGTATAGAAAATGCCAAGGAAACATGCCATACCAAGGAAAGATTAATCTAAACATGGCTTCCTTTTTAAAATCTTTTGCTAAGCATCTTTCCTTAAACATTTCCTACTGGCATGTTCCTGGACCAGGTACATGCAGTATGGTTATTCTTATGTTCTTTAAAAAGGTTAAACACTTAACTGTACATGAAAAGTGACTGTTGTCACCAAAAGTTATGAACTTAAGCACTGATACTTCTAAAAGCATTGTGCTCATAGTTTACAAAGGTGAACGTACCATAGTTTGTAGCCAATTTGGGTCGTTACTGGGACGATAAGTTCTTAAACTGTCTCATCTAATGGCCAGAGCAATGAACTTCCCACAAAGTTATTACCTCCATTTCAATTAAACGCATGAAAAGAATTTAATTCTTTCTGTGAGAGACCTATACCTCTGCTGTGAATAGTGTTTTCATTTACTACTCTCATTATCTTTACAGTACCTTTGCCTGGACCCAGAGGCTTAGCAATTCAAGATGTTACTCACAGTAGCATGAATGTCCTTTGGGATCCTGCCCCAGGGAAAGTTCGAAAATACATCCTAAGATACAAAATAGCTGATGAAGCAGATGTAAAGGAGGTAAATATCAGGAACATATTTGAAAGTACTAGAAGACAGTTTTATTTTGAGGAGCTAGATTACCAAAATAATAATAAAAGTAGTATTATAAGCTACCTTTGAGAATAGAGAACATCAGTTCATGGTGATTGCAGTCAGGGAACTACATGAATTTCTTGGAAACTGAATAAACACAAGATAAATTTCTTTGTGTACTCCCCTCTTCCTCCTCCTCCAGAGAGGAAAAATCCTCAAACTGTCTGAAGAATTTTCCTATGCTTTGATAAATAGCCATTTCTACTATCTGCCTAATTGTTATCTTGCCAAGCTCTAAGAACAGCTTATAATTAGGAGGACATGATTGTAGAATATAGGTATGTTAATGCCTTTGCTCACTGTCAGAACATGTGTGAGCCTTGTTAGAGAAGACTTTGAGTTATGTGCAAGCTTTCCATAACTGCACTGCTAGGCTTGAATCAGCTTTTGGAGGACTAAATGTGTTTTTGTAAGGGAATGAGAATTTTCTGAAGATGCAGTCTGCATCCTTGTTTCCAAAAGAATGAGGCAGTGAAAGATCCACAAATAGTGAGTGCTAGTATCTGAGGCAATGTACTTTGTGAAGGAGTTAGTAGATGGTGATCAATGTTCAAGTGTAAATTTAGGGGTAAATGGCAAAATTTAGTGTGGAACACTTTAATGTTTTTCGTTATAGGAATTTCTGCCACTTAATCGCATGCAGAGTCAGAAATAGAGCAATTTACACTTCTTAAGTCACTGTTTATATACTTAGGTGGAAATCGACAGATTGAAAACCAGCACTACTCTTTCCGACCTTTCCTCCCAAACACTGTATAATGTAAAAGTTGTAGCTGTCTACGATGAAGGGGAATCCCTACCGATAAATGCTGAAGCTGTCACTCGTAAGTTTGCCTAATAAAAATACCCTTCTTGTACTTATTTTTGCCTTGTGTTCTATTTAAGTTGTGTGTGTTGCAATATATTACTGAGTTTAGGTGGAACTGTAATTTAATCTGTCTGAGAAATATTTTACTTGCATTTGTAGCACTATTTGTAATATAGTAATCCCTGGGAATCTTAGATGAGTTCAGTGTCTTACTGCAGTAAACACTGGACCTGCAGTCTGCAGAGAGGTGACAGACCACCAATTGAAGCAAAATTATTTGCATTTAGAGGCCGAGGAAGGAGTGTAGGGCTAGAATTAGTAAGAAACTACGAGGGCAGAGGAAAGGTTTAGCAAGTTTATGCAAGAATCCAGGAAAACAAGGAGGAAGCTGAGGCATATGCTAACAGATTAGAGAGACAGAGAGAAAGCTGATATGAGGGAAGCCCTCATGATCTAGGCTTATGATTTGATAAGACAGCTAACCAGAAGAACTAGAACAGAACTGAGCAATGTTACCTTATCACTGCCCCTCACTGTGATGTTAAAAAAAAAAGAGAAAAAACATGCATGTGGTCATGCTCTCTCTTCCCCCCCCCCCCGAATTTTTCATTTTGTAGCCTGTAGTATTTAAAAGTGTTTGTGATATTTTTGGCTTGCTTTGTATGAACCTTCTATAGCTATGTTCTTGGTGTGAATGTGTGTGTAAAGAAAAAAAAGGAAAGGTCTGTCAAAGAAATTATTTTTAGTTTAATTCTCTCGTTTTGCCTATTTACTTATTTATTCCAAGTGGCTATAATATTTTGCGTCCTTAACCTCTGTGAATTCTTTCTAAATAAGTGGTGTAATTCAGTCATGACTTACTTGGCTTATGTAAATAATTTTAAGATCTGGAAGAAACTCATGCAAGAGCTTGACCTCTGTGTGGGAGTTCATAATCACTCCTAACTCCAAAATGTAAGAGCTGGGAAACTCTTCAGTTTTGTGAGTTGTGACCTCTGCTGAGGTCAGTAGAGCTATGTATGTTTTGTCAGGTGATGATCTGGTGCTGTGACCTTATGAAGGACAATTTACTCCATGTAGGTGGGCTGGGCTTTACTACAGCATTTTGTTGTAGTCATTAGAAGCATGATAACTGAGAGACGTATCTTCTACATAATCTTCTAAAGTCTCTGTCTGAGTAATTCCTTGGTTTAACTGATTTATTTTGTAGTTAGATTTTGTGGAATACTTTTTATTTTCTCATAACAGAGCCTGTGCCAGCACCAGTCAATCTCAGAATCACAGATGTAACCACGAATAGTTTTAGAGGAACTTGGGATCATGGAGCTTCAGATGTCTCTCTGTATAGAATAACCTGGGGACCCTATGGAAGACCGGAAAAACAGGAGGTAATAGTCACCACAAGATTTTGTGGACAGTGTCTCAGAGGATATATTTTAAAAATCAGAGATGTAATTAGTAAATGGCATATAACTTGCAAGCCCTCCTGTTGTGCTCAATGGAAATTCAGTGAGAAGGTGTAGAATACATAATTACAGCTGCTTGCAATGGTGTTACTGTGTAAAATGTTGCTCAGTGATAGACCACTCTCTGATTGTTTTGGTTTGTTTGTTTTCTTTTTCTTTTTTTTTTTTTTAATTTAATTTCTCCACAAGACTATCTTAAATGGGGACGAAAATAGTTTGGTCTTTGAAAATCTGAATCCAGATACATTATATGATATCTCAGTTACTGCCATTTATCCTGATGAATCGGAAAGTGATGACCTCATTGGCAGTGAACGAACGTGTAAGTAAATAAAGGGTTTCTGCATGCTGTTATTAAATCAGAATGCATACACATACAGGAATTCTGAAAACTCTTTCTGCTTTTTTCTAGTACCCTTGGTACCTATCACCACACAAGGTAAGAATCTGAATTCTCAGGTATGGTATTATTAAAGAAAACTCATAGCTATATTTTTCTCAACTGTGAGGAATGTTGACATTAAAAAGCTGAGATCATTTAATAAATATTAGTGTGTATTTGGAAGAATACTAAACACTAGATTACCACATGTTTATTATTTTACAAACATTACAGTTTTTGTTGTCCTGTACTTAATACATTCTGCTCTTGGTCAGGCATTCATGCAGCCCTAAAAGTATGAATGAAGTGTTTGTCCCTGCTTTTTGTTTGAATTACATGTTTATTCTTTTCTTTACTACGTTTCTCAGCCCCAAAGAGTGGCCCACGGAACCTTCAGGTGTACAATGCAACTTCACATAGTTTGACTGTGAAGTGGGATCCCGCCAGTGGTCGAGTGCAGAGATACAGGATCATTTACCAGCCTATCAGTGGGGATGGCCCTGAGCAGTCGGTAACTAATTTTGAAGTGCTATAATTATTCAACCTTAAATGATAGTTTTGCAAAGTAATCCATTAGAATAATTTATTTTCAAAGCACAACAGTGTATTTATTAATCACCTTTTAGGTGAAGATGTAAATTTACAGTGAATATGTATATATTTCCTTTTCTTTCTCCCTTTTCAAATCCAAGATAGAATGCTCTTTATGGAGCAAAACCAACTTTGGATACAACCCGTTTTCTTGAAAAACACATCATCTATAGCTATACCTAGAATAAAGTTAAAGTTGTTGAGGAAGAAAGCAATCAGCACATGAGACTACAAGTCACAGATATATAGTTATCACAACAGTCAGTAACATGAACTGCCATGACTACTTCCGTAGTCCAGAGTTTTCTGTTGTTTTCACAGTGTGGTTCATGTGCTCTCAGAGGGACTTTGCTGGGGAACGTACTGTGAACTGTTGAAACTCTTACCAAGCTAGGGACAGAATAAGCACCCAGAAGCAGCAGTTGCAAAAACGAATCCATGCATAACATATGCTAAGGAAACATTTAAGGTATTTTAATGTCTTTTAATGGGAATGAGCAGCTGTAAGGATAGAGAGAGCCAGTACCGCATGGTCAGCTAGCTTTCCCTGCATCGTCAGCAAGAGCTATGTTGACTACTGCTGGCTTGCACAACACAGCCTGGGAATGGTAATTCAGTCAGCCTGATTATCAGAAATGTGTGGTACTTAAAAATGCTCTATTCTGCAGTGGGAGGCTGTTGATGTTACTGCCAAGTGACTCAGAGGAACAGTCTCGGATGAAAACCACACTCATTTAGCTTGTTCCTGTAATAGGAGATCCCACATGTTCGGAAGCGTATCTAGGAATGTTTACTTTAGAATCAGTTGGCTACTTATGCACCCATTTTTACTCTCTTCTGAAAAAAATGCATTTCAGTTGGGGTAATTGAACTAGTGAATGAATTCAGTAGTGGAACACAAATTTAGTGAGAAATCACTGGAAAGATAAGGAGTAGCAGTAAGGTTAATTAATATCTGTAATTAATTGGGGGTACTGGAGTAATAAAAAAAATAAAGGGCATTCTTTTGAAATTTGTGCGAAGAATAGATGTAATAGACTTATTTACAACTGAATAGAGTCCAGCAGTGGCAGTCGGAGAAGATACGTCTTTTTGAGGAGAGCACACAGAACACTCCTGCTCTGTTCATGGTATTTTAATGTCTGTCTGCAAATAATTCTAAGTCATATTATAGTAATTCCTTATTGGCTTTTTTGTTACTGTGATATTTGACTAAACTGCAGCTGCTGGTTAGATAGTAACAGCATCCCACTGAAATATTTAAAATAGAATGTCTAAAAGTCTTCTATTGCTCTGTCTGACATTCAATGGCCTCAGCACCAAGAAAGAGACAGGTGATTGGAAGACAACTCTGCAAAAGCTGTGCACCAAGCACCAGAGACCATTATGATCATTTAGGGTTAGGTTTTGAAAGATACTAAAATATAGAGGCAGCCATGATGGGATGCTAAAAGCATTTATACTTTGGACTGAGCTTTGTACACTTAAGTACAAATAAAATATTTCCTTGTAAATTAATCTACTTCTAGGAAATGTGGAGATGTATAAATGCTTGCTCATTATCAGTTCATCATTATCGGAAAATTTCTAAGTGTAATGACAAACGTATTAGCTGAATAGGCTTTGAAAATGTGCAGATAGTCTTAAAAATACAAAGGATGATCTTGAGCAAATGTAATTTTACACAATTTAAACCACAAAATCTTGTGATTCACAAATGCTGAAGATCTAGATATTATTCTCAGTGCACTGTACATCTTTTCCTTGGTGGAGATTATGATCACAGGATTATATGTAAAAGAATAATTGAAATCAAAGATGAATAATGATTTTAGACTTAACAAAGATGTTTTGAAAGCTGAAGTATCATGCTATAAAATTTTTGAAATCAAGGAGAGGCAATGTTGATATTGTATCAAATCTACACTGGAGGTGTACAGAGTGTTGTAATTTATTCTGTGCTTGTATTCTACCTGAGCGTAGATCAGAAAGAGCCCGATTCAAAGTCTGTCAAACTGAATAAAAGAGTCTCATTGATTTCAGTATGATATAGTCAGAGGCAATGTGGAGAAACAGCTCTGTGCTGCCACAGAACTGGCAGTTGAGATATAATTGTGGTTATATGGTAGTTTGGAGGTCTTAAAGAATACTGGCTTTGTGCGCTGGGCTCTGTCCAAACTTGCAAAGATGAATATGTACTAACTATTATTATAGTTTAATGTCTACTGTTGGTGTCAGTCCCAAAAACATTTGCAGCATATGATATATCAGCGTTTTCCACCCTGCATCAAATGTGTACATTCTTCACTATAACAGTAAGCATAAAAATGGCAGCAAAATGGAAATTTTAATCTTTTTCTTTTGTTTTACTGCAGACTATGGTTGGAGGGCGGCAGAATAGTGTGGTGATACAGAAGCTGCAGCCTGACACACCATATGCTATTACAGTGTCGTCACTGTATGCAGATGGTGAAGGGGGACGAATGACAGGACGAGGCAGAACCAGTAAGTAACTTCTTGAGATCTTCTTAGTGGTGTGAAAAAATGTTGATGTATTGCTTTTCAAATTAGTTGAGAAAAATTTCTTGTGGTGAAGTTCATCCCATCTGTACTTGTCATTTGTCCTTTGATGGGTTTCAAGTATCTAAAGTAAGAAGGCATGTCAGTCTACTGGCTGTAGAGAAAACCTGGACCAGAGCTTAAACTGGATCCCCAACATTTAAGGCTGAGAGGAACCCTGATGTTACTGCAGAAATTCTTCCTCATTTTAATCTATTCATACGTCTTATGCCACAATTTAGTAAACACCTTAAAACATCTGAAGGCATGTGACTCTCATGTGTGCTGTTAAGTGTAAGTTTGTTGTTTTTTCTGCCAGCACTTTCAGTTCAGAAGCTACCGTTACAGTGTGCACTTTCATACTCTGCCTTTGATGCTGATAGCATTGTTTTGATCCTGCTATAGAAAGCACTGAGTGATTTTCTGCTACAGCCACTTCAGTCTTTAAAAACAATACATGGATGGGGCTGATGTTTTCTGATTAATGAAGACAAATAACAGTTAATGTGAACTATTAAACCTGTTGGGTTTTTTTAATTTCCTAATGATACGTTACATAGGCAGGATCTGACAGCACATTTGAGAGATTGTGGTTCCACGTTTCTGACAGCTCATTGATCTGTTTCAGAACCTCTCACTACTGTGAAGAACTTGCTAGTTTATGACCCAACCACCAGTACTCTGAACATTCGGTGGGATCATGCAGAAGGAAGTCCTCGCCAGTATAAAGTGTTCTATGGACCTACAGCTGGAGGTGCAGAAGAAATGGTAAACACTTTGTGTGGATAAATTGCAGCTCATGGGTGCTAGTAAGAGAAATACTGCTGCATGAAGTGGGTCTTTGTCTATGCACTGTTTTTTTTCCTGCTCGTAGCTATCCTGGAGAAAATGCAGAGCACTTCCATGAAAGCCTGTATCCCCATATGTATTACAGATGTTTGGTTTTATATAGAAGACCTTCAGTGCTTAGTTCTTAGCACAGGGATTTAATACCACACACAGTTTTTTGTTTGGTTATCCTTAGGGCAGTGTGTGTGAATGTAAAGCTGACCTCAGGGTGTACAAAAGGCTGTAAAGTCAGGAGACCTCATTTCTACCCATTTTTACTGCTAAAAGGTCATGTGACTGTAGTCAGTCAGCCAGGATGATATTTGTGAAAGCGGAAAAATCCACATAGGTATTTTATTCTAATCTCCTCAAGCTACTTAATTGCTAAAGAGCTAAAACAATCTTGACAATGGAAACCCTTGTTGCAGATTGGGAAAATATTCATTCCCACTTGTGTTTCTTTTCCCACATCTGTGCAATTTGATGTGCCTGTGAAATGAGTAGTACATGAATTGCTACTGTTTCAATAGCATCTAGAGAACTACTGATGATAAATATTCTCAAATGCTGTGGAGTTTTACTTTCTAACATGAGTTGCTCATTACCTCTTTTATTAGCAAGTTGTAGTGTTATGTACCGTATTTTTTTTTTTTTTAAATTTAGAAAGTGACTTTTTAATGCCTCTGACCTGCTACACAGTCATCATTAAAGAGATCACTGCAGATTTTGCTAGTTACTAGAACAGGATTTGGACCTAGAAGTGAGCATAGCTGTAAGGGATTGTATAAGAGAGCATAGGGTTTAACAACCGTTTTTGTTAAGTTACTTCAGGCTGCACCTTTTGAAGAGTTTTTATCACATCCAGTCGAGAAAAGAGATGTGGTGTAGCAGTAAGGGAGATACAAAAAGGCTTAAACTTTATGTGTGTTTATGTAAATGCCATTCCCCTACCTTTCTTTTTAAATTTGTAGACCACAGTACCAGGAAACACAAACTATGTCATCCTGAGAACTCTTGAACCCAACACGCCTTACACTGTAACTGTGGTTCCAGTTTTCCCAGAAGGAGATGGTGGACGTGTCTCTGACACTGGAAGAACTTGTAAGTAAAATAGGATTTTTTTTGTGTGAGTAACTCAGATAATTTAAAATTGATTTTGTGCCAAAACTGGAAGTTTATTTTCCCCAAAGCTAAAACATAAGTTTAAGAAGCTGTTTACCTGCTTGGTTATGGTTTCAGCTCTGTAACTTATTCTGATTTGTTTTCTTATTCAGGTGGAGGATTTTAGTCCACTTATCTTGGGAAAACTCAGCTCTTACATTGTACAGTGAACTTACTGTTTACTTTCACACAACAGTAAAATTTTAATTTTAGTGCCAGTAGCAATACTGGTGAACAAATGGCAGATATTTGTGTTAATCTATGCTGATGCCCATACCATGTACTTAAAATTTTCCAGGGAGTTTGAGCTCCTAATGTCAGCATGAGCTAAAATATGTAGTTTGTGGCTATTTTTCATACCTGTCGGAGCAACAACAGGGTAACAAAGTGTTGTGATCATACCTTCAGTTTGCAACATGAACATATATACTTCGCTGACTGGCAGGGATGTTTGTAAAGAGTAATAATTGAGATTCTTAAATTTGTGGATTTGGGGGTAATAAAGGTAATATGTTTATCTTGGGCTGGTGCAATTTTCAGCTTCCTTTTGAGCAGTTATATGCTCAGGTAGTACTAGAACTTACATAAGCAACCTTATAAAACTGAATTTAAATTATCCTTGATCTAGTGGAGAGAGGAACACCAAGAAACATTCAAGTTTACAATCCCACACCAAACAGCATGAATGTCCGATGGGAACCCGCTCCAGGTCCAGTGCAGCAATATAGAATTAATTATTCTCCACTGTCTGGCCCAAGGCCATCAGAATCTGTAAGTAATTTAGGTTTTATACTATTCCTTAAAAGTGTGTGGAGGATATTGCTTACTTCAATGAGTGTAGACAATACTAATAAAATCAGACCAACCGTCTGCCCAGAAGTGTCCCTGCTGAAAGACTGTCTACAGAAATGTAGTCCTTTGTAAATAAATGCTTAAGTAAATGCTTACTTTGGTGAAATAAAAGAAATAAGATGCTCTCATTTGAAACTGAGTATTGAGGATTGAGTATCCTTTATCATATTGCAGACAAAGAGGAGTTAAAAACATCTTTTTTTTTTTTTTAAGTGAGAAGGAAACAACAAATATTTACTAGGGATTATTTAATTATGAAACCAGATGCCAAGTTTATTTGCTTTTTATCACTAAACCATCTGTTTACCCCCTATTGTTAGTATATAAGTAGGTCTTGGTGAGCAGTGAAGCCTGGATATGGGTAAAAATTTGCCCTCCAGATGTGAAGTAAGAGTTCTTGGATTTATGTAGAAATAGATGCAGTTTTAGAATGTACTCACACAAAATGTACACCCATATTGTACATGTACAGATGAATATGTTTTTACGTAAGGAAGTTTAAGAATTTTTAATGAATCATTTACACCTGTAAAGTGAAGCTGCATATTACTTCACGCATGAATGGAAACCTGTGTAGTAGTACCTGTTAGAAAAGGTGCTTTATATGTCAGTAACCCATGACAGAATTTACTCTTTTGGTTTCTGTTCCTGAATGTTTCTTTTTTTCCTGAACCTTTTTTACATAGGTGCCTTTTGTTTCTGTTTTAGATTGTGGTACCAGGCAACACTCGTGATGTGATGCTGGAGCGCTTGACTCCTGACACTGCTTACTCAATAAATGTTATAGCTTTGTATGCAGATGGAGAAGGAAATCCAAGCCAAGCACAGGGAAGAACATGTAAGAGGCAGTCAGTACTTGCTTTGTGAAATAGTGGTGTGTGAAGAATTTATAAAATTGGTTGCACAGACAGTGTAAGCCATTCAGTGCAATTTCAAGATCAATGAATCTGAATTCTGGCTGAAGAAATTCCAGGGCTCCATAGAAGGGAGCTTTTCCTATGTTGTCTGGCAGTTTTGGTACATGCATAATCACCAAAGTAATTTCCACTTGTGAAATAAGCCTAATTTGAATGTTTAAGGGTTTAAAAGCTGTTCTTTAAAATGTGATTACTGATAAATAGCAATTTCTCTTTCGGAAAAAAAATAGCACATTGAGATGGGTAGAATTTGCTATCAGCAGAAAAAAATGCGCTTCATGTTCTGTGCCTTACATGATAATTGTATGTCAGCTTCCTCAGATGTTTGTTTTTTGCTGGAAATGCCTAAGTACCAAAACTTCTTTGTTAACAGCTTAGCTTGTGGGACCTTGCTTTGCTTATGCTTGGCTTCTTTAAAGTTCATTCTAGAAATAACATGAAAAGAAACTGCCTATGGCAATAATAGTTCACCTCTCTTTTGCAGCTTCTATGAATTCCCAAATAAATTCACATATTAATCTAAAACTTGCAGATGTGACAGACTATAGTTATATTTATCTGCAAGAATCTGAGAAGCAGAATATATGTAGAATATATAAACATGACTTTGCATGTTCCTCTGATGTTCTCTCCCTTCTGTACTACTGCCGTTTCTTCAGTTAAAGCCTTATTGCTGTTTAAGATCTTCAGGCACTGCTGTATTATCATTGACTAAATCTTCCTGGATATGTCAGTTCAGGGTTTCAGGGAGGGCCCTTGGTTTTGGCTTCAGGCCAACATTTGAATCAGTGAAAGTGACACTGGACTGACAGAACCATGCCCCGTACAACCTTCTGTATTTTCTTTCTTTAGTGCCTCGCAGTGGTCCAAGGAATGTGAGAGTGTTCGATGAGACCACAAACAGCCTTTCTGTGCAATGGGACCATGCTGATGGGCCAGTCCAGCAGTACAGAATCATTTATTCACCCACTGTGGGAGACCCTATTGATGAATATGTAAGTTCTGTAATTCCTTAGTAGGCACTGAGACGTTATCTGTTGATTATTTTTAGGCTATGGAAAAACAGACACCATTTTACATGTAGTACACTTTGCATGCTCTCTGATTTCTTTAGTCATTGTCAATGCTGAGAAGCCATGGTTTGTATGAAACAGGTTTGGTTTTTTTTTTCCCCCCCACAGAGGTGCAGAACATACACAGTTTAATGAACCAATTTGTACATAAAATAATGTTAAGTCTGTGAGTCATATATTAATCAGGGGTTCTGAGCAGAATCTGCTTCCTGACCTTTAGTTCAAACATTGTGCTACAGTGAACAGCCATCTATTACTTCATGCTCTGTTCATTAGGAAGTCAGTGTGCTAAGGTACAGAACACATGTCTGCGTTTTATACATTGGGGAGAGTTGGAAAAGTTTAATAAGAAAGGAAGGGTGACTGATTCAATATCTAACTTGCTTCTGTAAGGCTTAGTATGAATCGTGTTTGTATTTAATTTCCTGCAGCTTAATGATAACACAAGTTAATCTGATGCTTATGAAGTTCCCTGAGTGTTTATAGCAAAGCCAAGCTCCGATAGAGGTCAACGGCAGAACTCCTGCTGACTGACACCATCCAAAATATAACATGTATAGAACACTAAAACGCTATTACTGCTTTTATATTATTGTATAGGGTATGCTGAAAATTCACTGTTTGAAAATTCCCTACTGGACCTATTAATCAGGACACACGTGTTTTTCAACACATGTATCTTCTTCACAGAAAATATTGGAGAATTCATAAAATAGAAAGTCTCAACTGAAAAACTGCTTTTATCAAGCACTAATGGAAAATGATGACTTTAACATGCTTTTGAGATAACCTCAAGTTACTTTCTGTAGTTTCAGTGCTTTTTGACCCCCTTATGGAACAGTGTCACTTTTTAGATTATACCTACCTTTTCATTAAGAGGGAGCAGTGGTACATGGCTGCACCAGCAAGTTGGGAAGAGTGAGGAATGCATAAATAGGCACATTCTTACACATAAAAATATTTGGAATTTCCTTCTCAGACTTCTTTCTGCTAAGAAAATTATATCCTAAGATGAGGATAATGAATAGGTAGAAATGAAACTGATGAGTAGCGTGAATGAATTTCACTTCCATCCTCATTTTAAGAGCCTTTCCCTCTCTTTTTCTGTCTCCAAATACATCACCATGACTTAGTAAGAGTACTGAATAGTACTATAGTACATGAATTAGGAATAGTACTGAAATCTTGGTGAGGAACTGCAGCATCTCAGTCCAATGAGGGTAGGGACTGAAGAGTCAATTTGATTTATCTTTTGTGCTGAACACAAGAGTTTTATAATTTAAAATAACAAATACTAATGATTGTTTATAGGCTATAAACTTTAACATATCCTGAAGGACTTTATCTACAGTGGGCATGAAAAGAGCGAGCCAATTGTCAAAACAAATTTTTAGTTCTAGTTACTGTTATTATTGATCAGTTACAGGAGTTTGTTTACCTGTTTCTTTTGTTTTCTAGACAACAGTTCCTGGGATAAGAAATAATGTGATACTACAACCACTGCAATCTGATACACCATATAAAATTACCGTTGTGGCTGTGTATGAAGATGGAGATGGTGGACAACTGACTGGAAATGGCAGAACTGGTAATTAGTTTTAATATTGTATATTCTTTTAAAAATTTAAGACATATTCCACGAACACTCCAACATTGTTAAGGTTTCATTATGTTAATTATGTCTTTGACATGGTTATTATCTGGCAGAGGTACAATGTAAATCTCTAGAGGTTGAAAAATGTTCACTAGTCTAATGATAGTGTTTTTCTTTCTTTTCAGTCGGCCTGCTTCCTCCTCAAAATATGTATATAACTGATGAATGGTATACACGATTCAGAGTTTCCTGGGATCCTTCACCATCCCCTGTTCTTGGCTATAAAATTGTATACAAACCTGTGGGTAAGAAAACCTGTGCATTCTGGGTATATCACTTTCAGAATAGGAAATGGCTAATGGGAGATGTGAATGGAAGTCATACGTACCATGAAATGTTTGTGTTAAAGGATTTTAAATTTTCCTTTTTTTACTGATTTTGATGGAGGCTTAGGTCTTAATATTTTATGAGAAACACAGACTATCAAATACAGTGTTTCATACATTCCAGTACAGAGATTGAATTTTGTAGTTAAAATTTAATACGGTGACTAGATAAAGTCCTGAACCAGCACTGGTTTTCCTGTCTTTAATACCTCTTATCCTTCTGAGGATATGAACTGGTGTATGTAAGATGAGTATTGGACAGCTATATGGGACAGAACCTTTGTTTTATGTGAGAGTAAAACAATACACATACCTTTCTATAAGTTAAACACAAACATCACACAAACAATGTGTATGTTCTATTTGCAACAGTATAATAGGCTAAAATTTAAGAAATTAGTATGTTTTGCTTTAGAAAAAAATGAGATTAAGACTTAATGACATGTAAAAGACGGTGGATAGTTTTGTAGCTCAACTAATCATGGATCTTTCTCTCTGTCTGCACTTTCTTAATGCTTCCTTTCAATTCAAGGTTCAAATGAGCCCATGGAGGTTTTTGTGGGAGAAGTGACTTCCTACACCTTGCATAATCTGTCTCCCAGTACTACATATGATGTGAATGTTTATGCCCAGTATGATTCTGGAATGAGCATACCTTTGACAGATCAAGGCACTACATGTAAGTCAAAATAATTCTGTTGTAGTCATGCTAGATACATATCTGAGATAATGTTGATTAAGAGAGGATTTTAGAGGCTGTTTGTTAGAAAATCTGACTCTCCTCTCATGGAGATTACTTATAGTCTGTCCATAATATAGAGCTTAAAAACATTAAGATTGGGAACAGTGATGGAAATTTAGTTTTAAGTAATGATTCAAAAATATAAAATTCTCTAGTCTGCTTCCTAAAATTGCATTCAGCTATAGTTGGATTCAGTGTTTAACTGTGTCCAGGGTACTACATAATTTAACCATGCTAAGCAGGTCTAGGCTTTTTGCTACATTGCTTTTTCTTACAGGAATGTCCAGTGATTGAAACTTCAGCTTTCCAAAAGGAGATGATTTTGTTGAGGGGCTGAGCTAAGAAAATTCTAAAAATTTATTCGGTTAAGACGAATGAAGCATCCTGAGTTTTGTTGACTCAGTACATTATTTTCATACTGCCATACCACATATATGTATGAGTCAGGTTCCATTTTGAGAAGTTTCTTATTTTATAAAGAACTCAACTTCATGCAAAAACTGATAAAATGAACTGTTACCCAATACAGAAAGGGTATCAAACTTTGGGCCTCTGTAAATAGTTAGTCCAGGATCTCTAGGATGTAACACAAAATGAGGTTGGTCTAGAACTGCTCTTTCTTTCTGTGAGTATTTTAAAAAAATTGAGTTCTGGACCAGCACTGATAATATAATTTTAATGTTGATGTCCTTCCTCCATTACATACTGTTTTCCAGAGAACAGTTTATCTCTTTCTCTGTTCACAGTATATTTGAATGTCACTGACCTAACAAGTTACAAAGTGGGTTGGGATACTTTCTGTATCCGATGGTCACCTCATCGGTCAGCAACTTCTTACAGACTGAAACTAAACCCGGCAGATGGTGAGTGCCTTTTATTTTTTGCATTTTCTGGGAACATAATTGTCTTATTTCAGTGACAGCAAGACTTGTTTGGATGCTGCAAAGCACCCACCAGAAGCCATGATACATCTGACTGAGCTTTAAAGCTCTGAGTATAACCTGTTTTTTTTTTTTAGAGTGGTGATAAAGATGTAAAGAGAGTGATGCTTATTGTCAAATTAACTTTCATTGGTGGAAATCTGCTAGTTACCTGGGTTTCACATGTACGCAGCAATGTAACTCTCCATTATGCTCCAGGGTGCATAATTACCACATAATCTTGATCTAGAAAGGTTTTTACAGGACAAGAATAAGACTCTTTTCCCATCCACTCCAACCTCCTCTCAAGAGGTCTCTAATTTTTATGCTTATTTGTACACATATTAACAGGGAAATAGTGGGTTCTGACCTTCTTTCCTTTGGGTTTTTTTTGACAGGTTCTAGAGGACAGGAAATCACAGTACGTGGATCAGAAACAAGCCATTGTTTTACTGGCCTCTCACCAGACACAGAATACAATGCTACCGTCTTTGTTCAGACCCCTAACCTTGAGGGACCTCCAGTGTCTATCAGGGAGCATACAGGTAGGTAATAGACACCGTGAACCTTAAGTTTTAGTGATAGAACTTGTCTTATTTAAGCTGTAGGACGTGTCTTACACCTAAATGGCTATCAATACCTCTTTTAAGTGATCTTCTTTCCACTTTCTCTCTGTGTAATGTCTACTGGAGTTTATGAGGGCAAGAGAAACTTCAAACCAAGTATTTCTTTGGATAAAAATCGGATGCATTATCAGAGTGCAGTGTTACTCTGCTCATGTAAAAGTGTTCCTGTTATAATGAAATCATGTACCTTTGTTTTAACAATAGCTATAATCTCATTGCTTTTGTAAGACGAGAAATTTTTCCTTGCCAATTATACATTGTTTAGGTTAGTAAGAAAATATTAGAAACCTTCTGTGTGGTAATATAATACATAATCATTTTTTCCTTGAATGAAATAATTTATGTGGAGTAAAATAATTATTGTTCCATTTCAGTCCTCAAACCTACAGAAGCACCAACTCCACCACCTACACCTCCTCCACCTCCCACAATCCCTCCAGCTCGGGATGGTATGTTTATTTGTAGAATTATTCAGTATTTTTCTGTAGTTGCTGCACTGTTTCAGAGTTTAATTGTATTTTTCATAAGTTTAAATAGTTTTAAAACTAGTACAGCATTTTAGGGAAATGGAGTTTGAGACCAGTTTCCTAATGCCATCCATTTGCTCTGTAGCTTTACTACATTTCAATATTTCCTGGTTTAGAACAGTAAGGTGCATACATCTGGGGAAAAAATGAATGTTATTCTGTAGCTCTGCAGCAAGTCTGTGAGTCTGTCTGTCCTCAGATGACAATTTATCTTTTATGGCAGCTGGTCAGAGAAAAAAAAGTAATTTAAAATGTTTACATTTGATTCTTGAGCTCTTTCTCATTTCTTGAACCTTTCTTTGAAAATTGTTAGTAAATTTTTTTTGTGTTGAGCATTAGCCATTTGCCGAGTTGACTGTGTGGTAATAGATGTTTGCTGAATATTTGTCACTTAATTTTCTGATTTTGAAACAACGCTCTTCATGTCACAGTGGTATGATTGATATGTTCTAAGTGTTGCTTTTCTTTGGCCTTTCAGTATGCAGAGGTGCCAAAGCAGACATAGTATTCTTGACTGATGCTTCCTGGAGTATTGGTGATGATAACTTCAACAAAGTAGTGAAATTTGTTTTTAATACAGTAGGAGCCTTTGACTTGATTAATCCTGCTGGAATCCAGGTGACTTTGTTATTTCCATTGGATATGTTTTGGAAGGAAACTGAAGTTGAAGCTGAATTACTAAAGTTACCTCTGATTTTTTTCTTTCTTTCAGAATGGTGTCATTTTTTTAGTATTAGACTGTTGTACAACATGTGTTTGTGTATGCATGTATAGTTATTTATGAAATATATTGGTCATTTTCTAAATGCAAAGGGAATCCATTCTATCCTGAGAGGTTACGCTTCTGGAAGACAAAAGTTGTAGCATGTGGAAAACCTCCAGGCAGAGAAACTGGGGTGGTGTATGGTCAGTGTATGGTTAATTTCAACTGGCACACTGCCTAGTTGGGATACGCTGGGTTTTGTCTGCCTAAAAATCTATTTCGGAGACAGTATGACGGTTGAGTGAGGGCTACGTATTAATTTCTCAGTGTAAGAAAGGAATTTTGTGTATGTAGAGTCCAGCTGGCTTGCCATTATACTTTTCTTGTCAAGCTGCCTAAAATCCCTCTGCAGTAAATAGGCAGAATCCCTCTGAGACACACACTTGCAGAAGTCTCTTCATCCCATCCTAAAGATAGATAACATGGGCCCTCTCCACAGTGGGCCTAGTGAAAGTACAGAAAGGTGAAAAAGTAGTTCTCTTAATGAATTAATACAACTTTGAAGAGTAAACACGAATGAGGAATAAACTTTCAGGATTTCTGGGCTAACTATAGTTATGTCAAAGATATTTCTTGTCAGGCTTCTTACAGTTAAGTCTTGCACCTGGTTTTCTTCTGCTTATGGGAAGCTGGATGAGATCACTGTCTAGGTTCCCATAACCATTTCTGTTTCAGTACATGGAGTGAATGACATGAAATGTGAGAGAGTTTCTTACAAGGTATTTCTGGAGCATTGCAATGATCTCTAGATGCAATGCATTTCCTTGGTTAGAAAGCACAAGCTGTGGTGCTTGGTTGGTGGTTTTTTTTTTTTTTTTGGTGGTGGTGGGGAGATTGTGAGGCTGATTTTATCCAGTAACTATAAGAACTATTTACATTGCTCATGAACTGCCCTTCCTCTTCTAGGCATACTTTTAGGTCTTTGATTCCCTATATTTAACTACTTAGACATTTTTAAGGATAAGATACCCCTCATACGTTGCTTTGTCTCAGACATTCTTTATCCTTCTAGCTCTAATCTATACCAGGCAGTTTTCTTTTCCATTGTTTTATAATACTCTTCTCCTGTGAATATATGTGGGTCCCTGACCAAAAGATAGAGAACGTGACCGAGACATGTAAATGCTAATGTTTAGTAAAATATTTGTCACATTCCTCTTGAGAGAGTTGCAACAATCCCAAGTTTTGTATTGCATATTAATAATTTACAAAGGAATTACTTCAATACATGTGAACATATACATACACAGAGATGTCTGTTTAGCATCAAATTAGTATACCATAATATTGCAATTTTACACCATAGTAAAAGGAGCAAAATTAAATGTATATAATATTTGAATATGATTTTAGAATAAACATTCAGTGATTGTATTCCAGTATTTAAGGCAAAAGAGTACACAATTTTGTATATATCTAACTTCATTGACATTCTGTCAAATTATTTTTGTATTTCCTAAAAAAGCCCCAAAACATCTGGACGAGGTTTCGTAGATACTTTACATCCACTCAGAAGCAAAGAATAGGCACTATATATGCTGCATCATCGTAATGGCAATAATTTTAATCATACATGTTTAAGGTCACATCACATTTTATACACAAAAGAGAAAGAAAGAAAAAATATTATGTGCATATTGTTGTGATGATATCTGTGTGATTATGCACTATGTCTGCATAATCATACATATATAAAAAAGATTTTTCGATTATTTACTCCCCAATAATGTACCACAATACATATTTCAGTGGAGAGAGTTTAACACTGAGGACTGAGCACTGTGATATATTCCATTTCAGGTTTCATTTGTGCAGTACAGTGATGAGGCAAAATCTGAATTTAAACTAAATACGTTTGATGACAAGGCCCAGGCCCTGGGAGCTCTTCAAAATATTCAGTACAGAGGAGGAAACACAAGGACAGGTAATTCTGAGGGGTACTTACGTTTTTTTAAGGTAAAGTGTTTTCAGAAACTGCCTCTTTAATATTGCATGGCTGAAGAATTCGGTTTTTATATTCTTCTATTTTAGCTGTGGGGCTGTTGCTCTTTCAACTTAAAGTAAGGGATTTCTTCTCTTGTGGCTGACTCCTTGTTCATTGTGCACTTCACAGGCAAAGCCCTGACTTTTATTAAGGAAAAGGTTTTGACTTGGGAGAGTGGCATGAGGCGTGGTGTTCCCAAGGTACTTGTTGTTGTCACCGATGGTCGGTCTCAGGATGAAGTGAGGAAAGCAGCAACGGTCATACAGCACTCTGGTAAGCAATCCGCAGCACCTAGCTGTTTCATTTCCTTATATGTTAAGCAATGCAACCATAAGTGGTGTTTCAATTACATGGGAATCCTTTATTTATAAAATATGTTTCTGCAAATACATTAGTAACAAAAGAAGAGCTAAGGAGAATCTCCATCCTTTATTGGATGTGGGGAGAAACTTTCCATCCCCTATCAGCAGTCCTGGCTAACTGGGGAGGTCCCAGTTGACTGGAAGTTAGCCAATGTGATGCCCATCTACAAGAAGGGCTGGAAGGAGGATCTGGAGAACTACAGGCCTGTCAGTCTGACCCCAGTGCCAGGGAAGGTGCCAGAGGAGATCATCTTGAGTGCCATCATGCAGCATGTACAGGACACCCAGTCAGCATGGGTTTATGAATGGCAGGTCCGGCTTGACTAACCTGATCTCCTTCTGTGACCAGGTGACCCACATAGTGGATGAGGGCAAGGCTGTGGATGTTGTCTACCCAGACTTTTGTAAAGCCTTTGACACCCTGTCCCATGACATTCTGCTGGAGAAACTGTCTGCTCATAGTTTGGATGGGTGTACTCTTTGCTGGGTAAAAACTGGCTGGATGGCCAGGCGCAGAGAGTCATGCTGAATGGAGTTAAATCAGTTGGTGGCCGGTCACGAGTGGTGTTGCCCAGGGCTCATATTGGGGTCAGTTCCCATTAACAACTTTATCGATGACCTGGACGAGGGGATCAAGTGCACCCTCAGTAAGTTTGCAGATGACAACAAGTTGGTCAGAAGTGTTGCTCTGGACTGGAAGTTAGCCAATGTGATGCCCATCTACAAGAAGGGCTGGAAGGAGGATCTGGAGAACTACAGGCCTGTCAGTCTGACCCCAGTGCCAGGGAAGGTGCCAGAGGAGATCATCTTGAGTGCCATCATGCAGCATGTACAGGACACCCAGTCAGCATGGGTTTATGAATGGCAGGTCCGGCTTGACTAACCTGATCTCCTTCTGTGACCAGGTGACCCACATAGTGGATGAGGGCAAGGCTGTGGATGTTGTCTACCCAGACTTTTGTAAAGCCTTTGACACCCTGTCCCATGACATTCTGCTGGAGAAACTGTCTGCTCATAGTTTGGATGGGTGTACTCTTTGCTGGGTAAAAACTGGCTGGATGGCCTGACCCAAAGAGTTGTGGTGAATGGAGTTGAATCCAGCTGGTGGCTGGTGACAAGTGGTGTTTCCCAGGGCTCAGTACTGGGGCCAATTCTGTTTAATGTCTTTATCAATGATCTGATTGAGAGGATTGAGTGTATCCTCAGTATGTTTGCAGATGACACCAAGTTGGGCAGGAGTGTCAGTCTGTTACAGGAAAGGAAGACTGTACAGAGTGATCTGGACAGACTAGATCGATGGTCAGAGGCCAGTTCTATGATGTTCAACAAGGCCAAGTGCCGAGTCCTGCACTTGGGTGACAACAACCCCCTGCAATGCTATGGGGTTGGGAAAGGGTGTCTGGAATCTGCCTGGCAGAAAAGGACCTGAGGGTGTTGGTCAACAGCTGTCTGAGCATGAGCCAGCAGTGTGTGTAGATGGCCAAGAAGGCCAATGGCACCCTGGCCTGCGTCAGGAACAGTGTGGCCAGCCGGACTAGGGCAGTGAG